AGTCGCGAAAAATTTGCAGACGTCTGTATGGTGGGAGGGGGGGGGGGGGCAAGTTTGTACCCCAACCACACAAACCTCTGTGAAATTTTGCGACTTTGAGATGCAATATCTCCGTTAGTTAGTTAACTTGTCCATGTCAAAAGTTGAAAAAAAACATAAAGGGTCTATTAGAAAAAAACACAAATTCCACCTAATTTCAAAGTTACAAAGTTACAACCCGCAAATCTACGTTACCACGAGCCCTGATTGTGCAGGACTCGCTTATCTATCGTGAGTATCGTTGAAAATAGGCAGTTCTCTTATTGTCTCGATCTATGCATTGTGGTTAAAATAATCGCGACTTAAAGAGCTGCAAACCTGAGCCCCCGCCTCCAAGACCGGTGTGAGTTTTTATCCAAGCTCGGAATTGAGTCACTCGTGCAAAAACACTGAACAACTGTTTGGCATCACATCGTGCAGATCCCCAACTGACTGCTCCGTGAAGAGTGTAGGTTTTCCCATCGGCATTAAGACACACATACGGGCCTCCACTGTCACCATGGCAACCACTTAAAATGGTATTTTCCACTCCGGCGCACAGCATTTGTGGAGTCAGGCTTATAGCAACTATCGAGATATAAAAATAGCGAGGTAGGTATTTTATATTTACTTAAAGATATATCTAGTGTAGGTGAAACTTGAGAAAAAGACGCAATAGAAATGAACACCATTTGCCCTATTTCAGTCGAGTAAGCGTTATAGGCGCGGATTGTTTAATTTCGGACTACAGATTTAGGGTTTTGTGTGCGTCATTCCTTTGTTTTCTGCGGTGGACAAGAAACATTGTTCCTCCACTAGGATACATACAAATGCAAGTGGTACTTTGTGATATAATCAGGAAGTTGACGAGCTCGTGGTAAACTACAACGGCACGTTTTCAAACTTCTTTGCGATTATTTTAGCTCATCCAACTTGACAATTGTAAGAAAGTTTCCTGGCCTCAGTCCCTCTAAAGACGGTTAAGTTTAACCCAAGATTGGAGCCACATTTAAACGAGAGTTTCTTCTCTATAAGAACATGTAACTCGATCGGCAGCTCCAGTAACGATAACACAAAATGTTACTCTAAGCAACAGATAGGAAGGTAAATACAAAGAGTGGAACAAATTTTAATCCTTGATTAGCGCAAAGCCTTTAAGGAATCATTCCTGTTCCCGAGTCGGGCCTTGGAGTTAAATGACGTCTTTAATTTCAAGGGGACGTGTTTAAGTTCAGGACCTGAAGGGCCTATCTGATTATCCTCTGCAGTTTTTTCAAACGAGTAGGACAATATGCAACGCTTTGGAACATACCTCCAGAACTCTGTATCTTTTGTCTGCATTTTGCGTTGTCAATAGGAGGCATCATGGCTTGTTGTAGAATATGATATGAACTTCCCGGATGTTTGATCTTTCCCCAACCTGGAAAATACGAAG